TTCCCACCTATACTTCCTGCCTGGCCAATCAGCGTTTTATTAAAATATGATTGACAGAATACAGACAATTCTCCCACATCAAATACCATGCTATTATAAGGATTAAGAGGCTCACAAATTGGGGTTGATTCATCAACATATTGAAGCCTGCTTGGTTATGGGCCCCTTAACGTATCTTGTAAGTATTACACTATTTAAAGTCACAGAAAGTGGTTTTCAGGTTACACAAAATGGTTTCACTTGTATTCCTAACAGAATTATAAAACAAGATTTAATTCTTCTGTGTAGCAAAGCAGTTATATTATACATATATATTGACATTTTAAGATATAATCTTCAAATATAATTTGATGGCACTCCCATACATACTTTAAGCTTACTTCATCTTGTAATTGAAGTGAACCTTTATTTGAGGTAATTGGCTTAATTCAACGGACTCGATCTCCTCTCTGCAGCAGATGGCAGTTTTAGTAAGAGCAAAGCATTTGCCAAGTTAAAGAAGCTATCAATCCCGGTAGGCATTTCTAGTTCAAATAGGTCCACAACTTAGAGAAAGATGGGGTCTGTATGTTAGTCTTCTAGAGGATCGTGTACATTTCAAAGAAAGGAAGGCACTATCTCCCTAAACTAAATGCTCCCCAAAGGGAGAGTGACCTGAGACCATCTATTCTCTTGTTCTCGGCAGGAAGATGTCTTGTTGGCTGATGGCAGTATGGAGGCTACTTCGCAAAGCTTTAGCAGTGAGTTGCAGCATCAAGCATGATCACCATTTAACAGGAATTGGAAATCTAAGCAGGGCTTTCATATCACCGGGTTTTAAAGTCAAGGATGGAGCCGGAGGGGCACACACCTTTAATCCCAGCACTCAGGAGGCAGAGATAGGCGGATCTATGAGTTTGAGGCCAGCCTAATCAACATACAGGGCTAGTCCAAGACAGACTAAACAAACCCACTGCCCAAAAAAATGATAAAGGATTTAGAGCACTGCGCCATCCTTTCCACCACGCCACAGCAAGCACGCCTACGATGAGATCTGGGCCACCATGGCACCCAGGAGGCCTAATAGTTGTTTCCAGCAACATAACTGTAGAGGAATGTGGTACAGTAGTGGTGTTGGGATATCATGACTTATAGGGAAGCCAGGATATACTTAGAGCCGCAACAGAACAGCTCTGGAGGGGTAGAGCTGTGCGATAGGACAGCTCTGGGTGGGTAGAGCTGCAGTAGACAGCACTGGAGGGGTAAGAGCCCCAATAGGACAGCTCTGGAGGCTGGAGCTGCAATAGGACAGCTCAGCTCTGGAGGAAAGGTGTTCTGACTATTGGGAAGTCAGGCTACCTGAAGCTGGGGTGCGGTGGGGGATGGTCTCCCAGCAGGATATAGGGATCCTGCTCCTCTCCTGGAGAGCCTCTCCAGCTGAGTTCTGCTCTGTTCCCTTATGGGAGCGTCCTAACAGAGCTATCTGATTCTTCTCAAGCCCAAGATGTTTCTTTGCTAATACTATGCAAAAGGGAAGCCCGCTGCAGAGATGTAGCAATCTCCTCCAGAAAAAAAGTTGTAACTTTTCCTCCAACTGGCCTTGCTCAGCTCCCTTAAGGAGCAGCCTAGCAAGGGTCTTCTGTTCTGCTTGGCCTTGCTGAGGACCCCTAGGGAGCATCTCAGCAAGGTTTTTCAGCTCAGTCCCCCAAGGGACATCCCGCCAGGTTCTTCTGCTCTGCGCTGACCAATAAAGGTCATCATCCAAGACTCTATTGGGAAGGAGGAATCACTGATGGGTAGAGAGGCTTATATAGGCAGTTTTCCTAGGGAGAAGGGGGATTGGTTAATTTTTTTTCCTGCTCAGGGATTGGCCAGTTTAGCTGGTCAAGGGCAGAGATGGCTCTGACTTCATGGCCAAACTGTGTTTCTTTCACTAGTCCTTTTTAGCTTTTTGACTCTAATCTTGGGACCAGGGCATATTTCTTTCACTGACTCTGATCCTAGGGACAAAGTGTGTTTCTTTGACACTAAGGGTAAAGATGCTTCTTTCCTGACCCAGGCCTCAAATACAGGGTATGTTTCTTTCACTGGCACTGGGTTCAGAGTCAGGATGCTCTATGATTGGTCGGTTTCCTGCTCCAGTTGTCCCTTTTACTCTACAATAATGACCAGCTGAGGACAAGAACGCAGCAACGTAGCCCCAGGTATTTCCAACTTGGGCAACTAACACTCCCCCATTTCCCCTCCTTCCCTCTGCCAATGCTGTCTTCTGCACAGGCGTGGCCTTGGCTTGCTGCAGGCACACCTCCCGGAGCTACCAGCCAGTCGCCCTGCCCCAAATCACGTAAGACCACGCAGTGCACAGCACAACGGCCGGAACCGCCTCTGCAGCTGGACTTGCGCGCGCAGCGCCTTCCTGGCCTGCCGGGGGGCGGAGCCCACTAGGGGGCGGGGCGCGCTCGTGGCAACCATTCCGTGGTCCCCAAGTGCCGCTGTTCCTGCGAGACTGTTCCAGGGGTACGGGCCCGGCTGAGGCACCGACTGCGAGGTGAGTGTGTTGCGGACTGTCTGACTTAGTAGTTGTTCTCCGCCTGCTGACCCTTGGAACGGCGGGCTGTGGGAACCCAGGCCGAGAGCAGTAGTCTGGTCCCTTTGGGCTCTGGAGGCCGGAATCGGGGACAAGGGGCTGGACCTTGGCCGCAAGAGTTCGTTCTCCCCGTAGCTTTGGAAGATCCTTGGTCGTCTGGGACTCTGGGGGATCACAGTGGGGACGGAGGTGGTGCAGTCAGAGAGGCCATAGCCACCAGGACTTTACACCCTGCGTGAGAGCCAGGATCCCTGTAGAGTGGGCACGCTGCGGAGAGCATCATCTCCTGGAGGCCTAGCCTGGAAGTCCAGACCCCAAGGCTACTTAGCGACCTTGGTGAGGATGCTCGGCCTTCCCAGAGGCGGCAGAAAGCCAATGAGTATCAGTGGAACACAGCTGTCACCAGGCCACAAATAGCCGCTCAATATGACTGGTGGCTGCTCCCCCCACCCCCATTTGGAAGGCAAACGAGGAAATCTGCTCCTGGTCTCCTTGGTTGATGGTGAAGTCGCTGCCAGGTCTCCTGGAAAGGACTTTTCCTTCAGGGGGCAGGACGAGGTGTTAGGAAGTCAGGCTAGCCATATGAGCATCAGATAGAGAGGGGTCTATAGCCTTTGTCCCCACGCTGGGACCCAGTGTTGGGTCCTGGAATCATGCGATTAGCGGGGAGCAGACCACGGAAGTGTACTAACTGGAAGCAACTTTATTCAAAAACACTGCTGGAGCGGTGTGTGTGGGGGGCAACCGACGACTTCTAACTAGCTAGAAAATTAGTTGGTTTCCCCGAGAAAGAACTATAAGCTTTTTTCACAGTCAAAGATTATGCATAGGACAGAGAATACATAATGGGATTTATGGTGTCTTGGCGTCTTACTATCTAGGGAGTGCTGTCCTCTGAGCTTGAGCTTGGAGATTTATGGTATTTCAGGAAGGTCCTCCTGAGCTCGAACTAGGGGATTTACGACCTCTGATAACAGGGTGTTTGTTCAAAATGTTCCCTTGTCTGGGAGAAGGCAGGGCAAAGGGTTAAAGCAGCTATCAGTCCTAATACAAATATGTGTATAGGCTATAAGCATACAACTTTTTCATATTCCTGGACTTCTCACGGGAACTCTGAAGAGCATTGGCTCACCACTACTGCTTCAGGCATGTCTCCTTTACTTAAGCTTGCTTGATTGGTAAGTAGTGTTTTCCTGTGGGGGCCCCTTCAGTCCTTCCACAGGTGCTGATTCTACAGTCGCCTCCCTAGGAGAGTCTTTTCTGTGTTTGAGCCTGGGTACTATGGGTAGTGGTCTCTTGAATGAGGTGGACAGGCAATTGTGAAGATCCGCAGGATACTCTGGACGGAGGAGACTTGGAAACCAAATGGAACCTAGAAAGGGAAGATAGATTCATGGACAGAGGTCTCCGTGAAGCGTCCACAGAGCAGAAGACATGAAGTTGGGTTAGCATTTTAGAGTCCAGAAGAGTCCTGGGGGCCATGGCAACTACAGGAGAAACACCTTTCATTTGGTGAGGCTGGAGTGAGGGGTATTTTGAGAAACTTCAGTTAAACATAGACCATGAGGGACCATGAGGTTTAGTTTTAAGATCCCATCAGCCAATTAACCAATTATTTTCCTAGCTTGTCACCTGTAAGATGAGGCTCTCTCAGTACCTTTTCAGGTATATAGGAAGCCCACTACAAGATAGCAGATGTCAGGCCAGCTGGAAGTGTTTGCAGTGTTGCGTTCCTTAAAACCTCCGGACAGCTGGGCCTTCAAAGAGGAGGAAGTGAAGGTTCAGAGAGGCTCTAGCCTACTCAAGGTAGCAGTTTAGAAATGCCAGGAAACCGGAATTCTTTCAGGAGGGTGTCTCTGTTTACCAGGTATTTAAGGACGTTGCAAATGAGGATAGGGTTTTGAACTATTTTCCCAGGAAGTATGCAGCAGTTTTCAGTGGTGGCAGTGATTTCTTGCCCAAAGGACTAGACACAGATTTTCCTATGTCTTTGGCATATGTCTTTTAGTAGATTAGAAATGACCTTGGTAAGCAAATTTTTGCCTTGAGTCTCACTAAAGGCAAACTAATCAATCATTTGTGCTTATCACTGGGCGGGGGGAAGCCTTGCCAGTATTGTTTTCATGAATAGTATCTCATGAAACCTATTCAGGAACTTTAGAAAACTGCTAAGAAGTGAAGTATAATTTTACTCTGTGTGTCTATGTGTGGGTTTGTTTTTTTTAAGATTCGTTTTGTTTTTAATAATATGTGTATGTCTTGTTTGGGGAATGTGCATGTGAATGCAGGTACCTGAGAGGTTAGATCCCCTGGAACTGGAATTAGAGGCAGCTGTGAGTCACCCAATGTGGATACTAAGAATTAAGTTGGGTCCCCTACCAGATCAGTATGCATTCTTAACTGCTGAGCTGTCTCTCTAGCCTTGTCTATGTGTTTTGTTTGCTTTCATTGTTTTGAGATGCATTCTCACATAGTTTAGGCTGGCTTCAAAGTTACTGTGTAGCTGATGTTGGTTTTGAACTCCTAATCTTCCTGAGTCTTGTCCATTTAAACACTGGGCTGTGCCTGGAGCCATAAATCATGCCCCCACATCCAGCTGTGACTTGACTCTTTCAATGAGACAAGTTGGGTTTGTTAGTTACCGTTTATCTTCTCAAGAATTAACCTAAACCCTCATAATTTTAAGGCCTTTTTCTTCATATATGAGCTCACTCCTGCTTTTGTTTTCAAAGCTGTTTTTAGAAGGAAGATGGAAAGCGGCACAGTTTTGCTGGAATCCAAATCTTCGCCGTTGAACCTTCTGCATGAGATGCACGAGCTCCGACTTCTGGGCCACCTTTGTGATGTCACAGTCAGAGTAGAGTATCAGGGCGTCCGTGAAGACTTCATGGCCCATAAAGCAGTGCTGGCAGCCACCAGCAAGTTTTTTAAGGAGGTGTTCCTGAATGAGAAGAGTGTAGACGGGACCAGGACTAACGTCTGCTTAAATGAACTTCAGGTCGTTGACTTTGCTTCATTTCTGGAGTTTGTCTATACAGCCAGGGTGCAGGTAGAAGAGGATCGGGTGCAGCGGATGCTGGAAGTGGCTGAAAAGCTCAAGTGTTTGGACCTGTCTGAGACATGCTTTCAGCTCAAGAAGCAGATGCTGCAGTCAGTCCTTTTGGAATCACAGAGTTTCTCTGAGTCTCAGGAGGTGGAGGCCAGCAGTGGCCCCCAGGTGAGTGTGACCCCCAGCTCCAAAGCAAGTGTACCAGGGGAGGATGCTCACTCCAGTGGCCTTGTCGATACCTCTGACTATCCAGTAGAGAGTTTTGATAATGGTGATAATGGCCTCTTGCCAGAAATACCGTCCAGGAAGTGCAAGGAGAAACTGGACAAGAAGAAAGATGTGGCTAAGCCTCCCTACCCTAAAATCAGAAGACCTAGTGGGAGGCTAGCTGGAAGAAAAGTGTTTGTGGAAATCCCTAAAAAGAAATATACAAGAAGGCTCCGAGAGCAACAGACAAACGCGGAGGAGGAAGCTGCAGAGAATGTCAGGTGTCCCCAGGACCAAAGCCCAGACCAGGAAAGGATAGAGATGGAACCAGCTTCCAAAAATGAGGCTTCCCCGGCTGGCATGAAACTGGAGCAAAGCCTGCAGAAAGTGGAGGGGGAGAAGGAGGAGGAGGAAGGGAAGGATGGGGAGAAGAAGAGCAACTTCCAGTGCACAGTCTGTGAGAAGGCCTTCCTGTATGAGAAGAGTTTCCTGAAACATATCAGGCACCACCACGGCGTGGCCACCGAAGTCGTGTACCGATGTGACACCTGTGGCCAGACCTTTGCCAACCGCTGCAACCTGAAGAGCCACCAGCGCCACGTGCACAGCAGTGAGCGCCACTTTCCGTGTGAGCTGTGTGCCAAGAAGTTCAAGCGTAAGAAGGACGTGAAACGGCACGTGCTGCAGGTGCACGAGGGTGGTGGCGAGCGGCACCGCTGCGACCTGTGTGGCAAGGGCCTAAGCTCCAAGACTTCTCTGCGGATGCATGAGCGCACACACACGGGCGACAGGCCCTATGGCTGCACCAAGTGTGAGGCCAAGTTCTCCCAGCCCTCGGCGCTGAAGACCCACATGAGGTGCGACTGCCTGGGGACATTGCTGTGTGTAGCAGGGCCGTCCTGCGGGTAGAGATGTGGTTTCCCAAGTACTAGAGGGTTCCCGAGTGCTAAAGCGCACTGGGTGGTTGGAGATGGTTTTAGGACGGGGACCAGCGTGTTTGTGTCTGTGGGTCTTCATTTCCCCGCTGGTGCTATCTAGGACTCGGGAAATTGAGGCAACATTGAATCCTCTTTGGAGGAATGGAGTCTGGGAAATGGTTCTTTGGCCCTTCCTCCCAGGCATAGAGGCCAGGGTACAGCAGAACCATCCAGCACGCTGGGGGCTATGTGCCTGACCTCCAGGTGGCCTGAGGTCTCAAGATGCTCTGTATTTGAATAAGAGCTGGGCTTTTTCTTCACCCAGTTCCACTGAAGTTCTGTGAGATGGGCTGTAGGGCTGTAGACACTTCCCTGGTGCTCTTTCAGGTCTTAGGGTCTGGAAAGTGCCACTCATTGGAGGATCTAAGAATTAGGATCTGAGAAGCAGACAACATTTTTACATTTTTTTAAAAGTTTTTTATTTTTATTTCATGTATACGGTGTTTTGCCTGCATGTACGTGCCTGGTGCCCTCAGAGGTCAGAAGGCAAATGTCAGGTCCCTGGGAACTGAAGTAACCAATGGTTGTGAGCCACATGTGGGTGCTGGGAACTGAATGCTGGTCCTCTGCTGGAGCAGCAAGTGCCCTTGCCTGCTGAGCCATCTCTCCAGCCTCTGAGCAACACTTTCTATTTGTTTTCAGACTGTAGGTGGATAGTGAGTTATCATATTTACTTCCTTACAGGATTTTTAAACAACTTTGTGGTTGTTTTAGACCAGCAGCTCTTGCCCCCATGAGTCCTAACCCCTTTTGTGGGGAGGTGTCCAATGACCCTTTCCTAGAGGTTGCATATCAGATGTTTACAATTCGTAAAAGTAGCAAAATTACAATAATGAAGTAACAATGAAAATAATTTTGTGATTGGGGGTCACCCTATGAGGAACTGTTAAAGGGTCACAGCATTAGGAAGGTTGAAAACCACTGGTTTAGACAGTGTCTCACTGTGTAGTCCTTGTTGTTCTGAACTTGACTGTATAGACTGTGCTTGCTTTAGATTTTCAGAGATGGGTCCACCTCTGCCTCCCAAGTGCTGGGATCAAAGGCATGTGCCTCTTTATAGTTCTAAGTATATATGTTCTCATTCCGGCCGAGCTGTTGAATTTTCTACTGTATTCTGCCTTTGCCTTCCAACCTACACCAGACTGTGGGGAGGGAACATGGTGGCTGTCATCGTTCACTTAGCCTGAGTTCAAAGTGCTTGTATAGAGTGTACTCAGCAGATCATGGCGATTGCCGTACCATTCTGTCTGTAACTGAAATACTGTATGCTTCTCAGCAATCTGAGAGCAGATTCTCTCTTTAGGCTGGCAGACTGGTCATGTGTTAGGAAATGATGGCAAAATGTTTGGTCATATGGTACTTTGTCAGTGTAGTTCCTAAGCTTATTCCAAATGAGGAAGCTTCAAATATTAAGTGATACCCTTTAATAGTAAAGTATGCAAAGGCACTCTCTGCCCTCCAGTGCTGCGCAGCATGAATAAGGCCAAGGAGAGATGTAGGAGCTGCTCAGTGGCTCTACTCTGGTGTGTGGAACTAAGTAGAGATAGCATCGTTGGGTCTTGTACGGAAACTCCATTAGTGTTGGGATTATGGTAAACTTTTTTTTTTTTCGAGATGGGGTTTTTCTGTATAGCCCTGGCCATCCTGGATCTTGCTCTATAGACCAGGCTGGCCTCAAAATCAGAGATTCACCTGTATCTATTTCCCAAGTGCTGGGATTAAAGGTGTAAGGCATGGGCCACCACCACCAAGCATATGGTGAACTCTTGACTGTCCCATCAGTCAGTTTCTCAGCTCTCTTGGAGGAAATGGTTTTGCACAATACAGAGGAAATTGGAGATTGTATTGCAAAGTGACCTTTGAAATATACCCTGAGTTATCATCTGAATGTTGTACTTTCAGAATTCATACAGGGGAAAGACCTTTTATCTGTGATGAATGTGGTGCAAGATTCACTCAGAACCACATGCTGATTTATCATAAAAGGTGCCACACAGGTAAATACCCACGCTGTTGTGATTGACTGTCTTTCCTAGCTATAGAAGAAAGCTGCAGTTGCTTACTAGAAGTTGGCATCCACCATGGCAGGACAGGTTATGAAGCTTTTCCATCTAGTAAGAGGGGATTGCAGATCAACCTGCTGCCTGCAGTGCTGCTGTACATGTGGCATGGTCTGTGCCACTAGGTGCTAAAATAGGGCACACAGGTCTTCAATACCTAGAGATACGAAACACTTAGACACCTAGAGATATGAAACAGTTCCTATTGTTGTAACTTTTCATCTCTAGGAGTCTGTCCTAAACAAATTATCCAAAAAATCTGAGAAAAGCTGTGTGATCAGCTCTCTTCTTGCTATGTTTAATAACGATTGGGAACAACATGATGGACCAACTACAGGGAAATGTTCCAATGGGCTGGACATCCATGCTCCTACCCATGACATGGTCTGAGAGGAAGGGCTCTTGAATTATGGGTACATCTGTGCTTGAATGTTGACTCTAACAATGAACAGTTAAATATGGTCAGTGCCAACTGTTGAAAACCTGGGCAGAAACCAGGAGCAAATACATGATAATCATATTTAGAGAGGAGATTACCTCTGTTTTAAGTTGGCTTTATTCTGACTCAGCATTGCAAATCCTGTGGTTGAAATTTTGATGTAAACAGGACACAGAACCCAGTCCATCAGCGTGTACCATGCTCACTCACCCAGGCCTTCCTTTGCTTACACTATCTATATCTAAGCACTCACATTGGCCGCCCTGACAGGTGAGGTGTGGATCATGTGTCCCAGGAATGCAGAGCACCACTGGAAGCTGCGGAGGAGTCAGTGGCACATCACAGATTCAATTAAAGTTGGTCATTGTGTATGGCTATTAATGTATTAACATTTTATGAAAGCCAATGTTTTAATGTTTGTAAAATTAGGAGCACACCAGTTGACTCCATGAGTGAGTTGGAAGAATGAACAGAGAACTTACAACATTGAAATTGCCCTGCAGTCTAATCAGGTTGACTGGTGTGCCAGCCTACAAGCTGCTTGATAATCCATTGTGAGGGACTTTTGTTCTGATAAGGAGCTGCAGAAACACTATTGAAAATAATCCAACAATTCCCCAAAGTTGTAAAAATTTTCTTATTTTCAGTAACGAAATTTATTAAATTTGAGCTGTCCGAACAGTAATCACTGATTCTAATCCAATGGATTGCTGTTTGGATTTCCCAGGATATTCACCACTTTTAGCAAGTAGCAAGAGTAATGTGTTTGATGTTTAATTAGAAAGTGTCTGATGCTGCTTGCCATGGTGTAGAGAGGAGACCAGCTCTTGCAGGGGTGTTTAATGATTATTTCTACTTTTGTCTCATCTTCTCATGTAGGTGAAAGGCCTTTCATGTGTGAGACATGTGGCAAGAGTTTTGCTTCTAAGGAGTACTTAAAACACCATAATAGAATCCACACTGGATCTAAACCCTTTAAATGTGAAGTGTGTTTGCGGACCTTTGCCCAGCGGAATTCCCTTTACCAGCATGCTAAAATCCACACAGGTATGGCTGCACAGTGCCAGAGAAGAGTTCAGTCTGGCAAGGAAAACAGTTCACTGGTGTGGGAGAATTGTCTGTATTCTGTCAATCATATTTTAATAAAACGCTGATTGGCCAGGCAGGCAGTATAGGTGGGAAAGCCAGACAGGAAGTAGGGGTGGAGCAAAGAGACTGGGAGTATTCTGGGAAACAGGAAACTCCCTCCACAGTTCTCTCCAGACCACCAGAGAGGAAGGATGTAAGCTGTCCCTCTGGAAAAGGTACTGAGCCATGTGCTAACGTAGATAAGGATAATGGGGTAACATAAGTTATAAGAGCTAATAAGTAGCCTGACGTAATGGACCAATCAGTTTATAATCTTATGGAGTCCTGTGTGTGATTTTTCCTTGGGATTTACCGGCTGTGGGGTACCGGGCGGGACAGAAACCCCAACAAGCCGGCCCTCATGTTACAGTTCACAAGTTTTAGATGTATTGCAAAGTCACTTGGAGAGTGTTGCTTTGGTTAATATAGTGTGACTATATTGACTTCCCAGGGGGACTGCTAGTGGCTCCAAGTTTCCCAGGATTCCTTCTCTCATGGTGGGAAAAGCATGGCCAGGTTCATGGCAGCGGGAAATTAGGGATCCTCACATTGTATAGACTAGAGAGGACTAGCTGGAACCAGAGACTGGTATAACCTTAAGGATCTGCTCTACTAACCTACTTCCAGCCACCCAGGAAGCAGCCAGTTCATAAAGATCCACAGCCTTCCAATAGTGAGCAACTTGAGAATTAAGAACACAACACTGTGAGGCACATTTCAAATTCATTCTGAATCGAAGCTTTAGAAGGAAATGGTCAAACTTTGTTAGAATGACTATTTATTTGTTTATTTGTCTATTTATCTATCTATCTATTTATTTATTTTTTGAGACAGTTTCTCTGTGTAACAGCCCTAGCTGTCCTGGAACTAGCTCTTATAGACCAGGCTGGCTTTGAACTCACAGAGATCTGCCTGCCTCTGCCTCGAGTGCTGGGATTAAAGGCATGCGCCACCACCACCCAGCTATAATCGCATTTTTAAAGTGATTTTTTTAAAGTTAAAGTATAATTACATATGATAGTATTTTTAAACCTTTTCACTCCCTCCAGGGCTTTTGATTGACCACATAGCCTTGTACATGTTATATGAGTACTGTGCCACTATATTAATTCGTGGACCCCTATTTTTATGTTTTCATTTTTGAGACAGATTTTCATACAGCCTTTGAACTTGCTATACAGCCCATGACCTTCAATTCCTGATCATCCTCCCTCTACCGCTCAAGTGCTAGGGTTACTGACCAGGCTTCCCACATGGTTTTTATGCTTTTGAGTTTATAGTTTTTGTTTGTCTTGTTGTTGTTTTAATTAAGTTTATTTTGTATATGTATGTGTGTGGGTGACTAAGTGCCTTGACACATGTGGAGGTCAGAGGACAACTGTGGGAGTTGGTTCTTGCCTCTCACCATGTAGGTCCTAGAGATTGAAGTCAGATCTTCCGGTTTGCTGGCAGGTACTTTTACTTACTGAACCACCTTGTAGGCCCAGTTTCTGGTTCTGATAAAGTGAAAAGTGAGAACACTTTGGTATGCAAATGGGGGACAGTCTGTTTGCAGCATGGGGTGTTTATTGAAAGGGCACACAGCTTCCTGTGGTATGACAGCTTGAGCGTTATGCTTGAATGGATGCAAGTCTTTCAGATATAAACAGGGAGAAAGAATGGATGTTACTGTACACACGTGCACACAGCATGCTATTTGTTATTAGGATAGTGTATTACTATGGCTACTGGTTTGTATTTCACACAGTGTTAGCTGCCTGCACAGAACTGACCTATTCTGGGTACAGTTGTAAGTTCTTGGGTATTATAGTATGGTTGATTGGCACCTCTCCCAGGTGCCGCTTCCTTGAGTCATTGTGGTGTAGCTTTAACCCTTTTGGGAGTGCTCAGGCTATGCAGATGTGTATCCAGCGTTAAATAAAGTAGACTGAGAAGTCACTGAGTAGTTCCCTTCTGTGTTCAGGAGAGCGGCCTTATTGTTGTGACCAGTGTGGGAAGCAGTTCACCCAGGTAAATGCCCTCCAGCGCCACCATCGCATCCACACGGGAGAGAAACCGTTCATGTGCAATGCGTGTGGGCGAACGTTTACTGACAAGTCCACTCTCCGGAGGCACACCTCGGTAAGTGATGGGTAGGCTGTTTAAAAACAAAGCCCTTCTGGTCTAGGTTGCTAGCCCTGAATACCTGTCATTATTCCCATCCAGAGAGTCCAAGGTTCTCTCTCTCCTGAATGTCCTGCAGTGACATCCAGGGAATAAGGTGGAAGGCTAAGACTACTGCCAATCTATGCCAAACACTTCCTTGCAGAGGCTGCTGTACTAATTTAGTAATCAGTGCCAGGGTGGTCCACTAGAAAGCATACTTAAAAGCCAGGGAGTGCTTGCTCTTTTTTGTAATTAAAAATCATTTTTTAATATTTACTTTTTAACTGAGAGACAGTCTAGCTCTGTAGTCCAGGCTGACCTTGGACCCAGCATGACCCTCCTGTCTCTGACTCCCATATGCTAGGATTATTTTTTTTAAATGGGTGTGTGCCATGGTGCCAGGCTCTGAAGAGAGAATGCTTTTTTAAAAGATGCATGTATTACTAATAATATCTGTAAACTGGGAGACTTAGAAACACATAAACTGACTTTTGTTTTATTTGTAGATACACGATAAGAACACGCCATGGAAGTCTTTCCTTGTCATTGTGGACGGCTCACCCAAGAATGACGAAGGACATGCAACAGAACAACCCGATGATGAATATGTATCACCTAAACTTTCAGGCAGATTATTATCTTTTGGTGAAAATAGCCATTTTAACAACCTATTGGAAGTTCAAGGCAGTGTGCCTGCCATGCAGGAGAATAGTTCCACAGACACTGCTTGCAAAACAGTGGTGTCTCAGGATGCTCTACTCACCACTACCATCAGTGAGCTTGGTGAGCTGACGTCACAGACAGGCTCAATACCTGCACACCTTCCCACATTGACCAACATGGAGTGAGAGCTTGTCGTTGTGTGCTGAACAGTCTGTGTAACTGCCGTATTCCAGGTGACGCCAGGGGCTGAGAAAGAAAGTTGTCTGTCCAGAGATATAGGCAAGACTGGCCTTGAACATTTCCCCAAACTTCCATGACCTTGCACGCCTGTATCACACTCAAAGCTTTTCCATAAACATTCTGATCTGCATGATCTTAGCTACATTTCATCAGCAGATATGGTACTTAGCACCAATCACTTAACCCTGGTGTAGCTGTACATGTCAGTGACACTAATGCTTGATTCCCTTGTGTCCAAACCACTGCTTGTCTTAATCACAGAGTACACAGCATTGCCCCAGCTTGGGAAAGTGCTGTTCGTGTCTCCTGGTCTCGCCCTGCCTTATACTTCCATGTGTGTTTACTTCACTCTGATCCTCTTAGGGCATTTTTCTACAAACTTAGCTATTTCTTCCTTACTGAGATAAAAGAGAATAGAATTTGTTCTGGGGACCCTAAGATGGAACTGAAGGTTGCATTTATTCCTCACTAACCCCCTAATTTGTACACACGAAGAGGAATGACATACTGAACGTTTTCTGTGTAGTACCTTAGCATGTGTGCAGGTAGGGAGTCGGTCATAAAATTCAACCTGGGATGAGATGTGGCTGTTAATTTCATTTCCTAAATCAGATTAAGTCAAAGCTGTCCTACCAAAGAATCTAGCAAAATCGTTGTCTCGTTTGCAGAGGTGTGAGAAATGAAGAGGAGGTGTCAGAACATTTGACTAGTCGCATTTTTACAACCAGCCTGCTGAGTGAGCCTGGCAAATCTCAAGTACTCCGCCAGGTTTTTCTATAACGTCCAGAGTCCCCAAAGCACCTGCTTCCACAGTGGAAGGTGACACAGACAAGTAACTGCTATAAAACCACCTCTAGGAGCATGTAAGGAGCTAGAGCAGTGGTTCTCAACCTGTGGGTAGTGACCCTTCCATGGGTTTCTATAGCATATTAACATTACAATTCAGAACAGCAGCATAATTACAGTTATTTAAGTAGCAACAAAAGTAATTTTAGGGTTGGAGGTAACCACAACATGAAGAACTGTATTAAAGGGTTGCAGAATTAGGACGGTTGAGAACCACTGATTTAGAGGGTACCAGAAACCTTGGCATGCTCAATTCCTATGCCTTAACAAGTGGATAAAGAACCAGAAATGTCTCCAATGTTCCTTTGGCTTTCTCATGCTGAATTATTGCTCAGCAAACTTCACTATGAAAAATGCATTCTGTGGCATTTGCTATTCCTGATGTATGAACACAGGGCCTTGGGTATATGGACATTCGCCATGTGTGACCCTTAAGCATTAATTTTAAGAGCGCCTTAATGGGAGAATTATTCAGCTTTCTAGTTGATGTTTCCTGTTTTTAACTTATTAAGCTTGCTATGAGAACACTCTGGTTTCTAAGAGGAAGATACCTTAAGTTCAGAATGAAGACTGAGCACTATAATAGAAACTAAGGGTCCTTCCACAGTGCCGACTTTATGGTAACACCTTCAAGAAAGCCATTAAAGCTGCCAAAAGGTGTTCCAGGCACTTATAATATTTCAAACTTGCTCTTGAAGGTTCAGGGCTGAATTATCTCACATTCAGTATGACCTGGCTATCCTAGTTGTGTTTACAGACAGAAACAAACAAAAGGCTAGTGACTGGCACATGATCATTTTAACTGGTAAGAGCAAACCTGCCCAGCTGATATACTGTGTTATGGAATAAAGTCATCTTGATGAGAAGGAATTTAAACAATAGATTATTTTGTTACTTATTGGAAGAACTGTCTTGAATTTGTTTCTTTCAAAGTTCTAAATAAAATTGTTTAATGTGTTAATAAATGTCTTTGTAAAGGTTCTGCATTTCTAAATTTATTTACATTACGCTAACATGATCTGTAGAAAAAAAAGATTCTTAACTGAAATTAGCCTAATTTGTTTAATAGCATGAACATTAAAACTTAAAATCAGGGTCTGTAGATTTTTATTTATACAATCACCACAGGTGATTGACCTCCACAGTGCCAGACAGAAGAATGGCCCCTGCTTAGCAGTGGCCCACGTTGAGCTGGGGAGCATATAATGTAAGGACACCCTACCAGTCTTTGCAGTGACAAGTCAGAGCGACCACGTGGCTATGAAGGTTTTTGTCTCTTCCCAAGAGAGGAAGGTGATCCTTAAGGACATAAACCTTGGCGCTAACACCACTTTGTGGCGTCTTCCTATCAATCCTAGCAGTTCATCTCTGAGAAAGCAAGGCTGCCTTCCGTGGGTTGGTTCCAGCTGTGTTCTGGCAGCGCATACTCTTGGAGCAGGAGCATCGGGAGGGGTTGCCGAAGAGGTGACCCAGTGCTATTCCAACCGTTCTTAACACAGCCTGAAAGAACCAGCTTCCAAACTGCACACAGGGCTCAAAGGGAAAGTTCACAGTGAAGCCCAATCTAAGATGTTTTAAATCTGAGACACTTAAGATTCCTTTCTTAATTTTCTCATGTTGTTGTGTCTTCTTTTGTTCTTCACAGCTTATATACCCAATAAAATCTTTCAGGCTATACAGGAGTCACACACAGAGACCACATTCCAATTCTTAATTGATTAAAAACAGAGTCATCCTGATAACTCACAAGCAATACTTCTAAATAACTTGTCACAGAGTGAGGAAGGAGCATTTTTTTCTGAGCCAACTCTTTCATTGGTAGGCAGCAAATTACGGCAGTAAAGAAAGAATCACTTTGTTATCTATCTAGAGAGGTACTCTTATAAGGGATTTTAAAGGAGTGTATAGACCTAAACTACTGAGGAGTCTAATAAGGGAATTGGGTACTATAACCTATCCTTCTGAGTGTATAAACATTCTGAACTGACATCAGTGATCAGAAGTCATAAATGCTGGGCTTTCTTGGACTCAGAGTGTCGGGTTCAGACAGGTGTCCTAAATTCTTTAGTGTGGCCTCAGTTACATAAATCTTTACAAACAGCTCAGTCAGCACTACCCAAGGCATAGTGACACTAATAGCATTTTAAATCTCAAAATGTACTTTCTGTCCTGCATGTAACTCAAGACCATAAAAAGAAACTTGTCTTTCTTGAGGCTATAAAGTCAAATTATTTTCTGTAGCCCTGACCAGTTAAACTGTCTTTTCCTGCAGTGTTTCTGAACAAAAGCTCGGTTTTTTTGCTCCTGTCACTTATGTAATTCCAGGACCCAACATTTTTACACATAAAAAAGTTAGCTGGCTGAACTTTGAGTCTTTATGTTACATACCTGTATTACAAAACCGAGGTTAGGAATTTGTGCAGAGAGTTAATCATTATCCTAGGGTATCAGCCAGACCTAGCAAAGAAACTGCATACAGCAATTAGGTTGCTTTGGCAGCTGGGGAAATTCAACTATTTTCCTAATCGCCAACCTGAACTGTGATCTAAAGCAGCTCCTAGGCAGAAATTAAGCCTTGACTGCGTAGCATTTCTTCGTATTCATTATTATTCATTAGAACTCTGGGTAAACTCTGCGTAAGCTAACATTACAATACAATTTAAGGAGGGGTCATCTTGACAATCCATAGATAAAAATGCCCACTACATCGGGATGTATTCATGAGATGAACTGCTGTGGGACAATGATCTTGTACCCTGTAAAGATCTGTGACTTGTATTTTAATAAAATGCTGATTGGCTAGTAGCCAGGGAAGAAGTATAGGTGGGGCGACCAGATCAGGAAAATTCTGGGAAGAGGAAGGAGTCAGTCTGCAGTTATCACCCAGAAAGGAAGCAAGATGAGAATACCTCGCTGATAAAAGTTACCAAGCCATGTGGCTAACACAGACAAGAATATGGGTTAATGTAAGATGTAAGAATTAGTTAGTAAGAAGCCTGAACTAATAGGCCAACCAGTTTATAATTAATGTAGGCCTCTGTGTGTTTCTTTGGGACTGAAAGGCTGTGGGACAGGAACCTCTGTCAACAATGATCATACTACATCCAGGGAAATGTGCAGCAGTACATGAGAGGTTACAGATGGAAGCAGAAGATATTCTGGAGTCTGTAGCCTTGTGGTCTTGCCTAACAAGGTTTTCCCATCAAAGATTTTTTTTTTCCTGATGGCTGACATATGACATGGCCCTCGGCACATTTTGTGTTTCAACATAGTCCAAACTACAGAGGGCTCCACAGTCTTTGGTTTTACCAAAGTTTTCCGTAGTAGTTTAAAAAGTGGATCAGGAAGTAGTGAGAACCTTTGGGTTTTTGCTGTTGGTAACTAAGGGAGATTGTAGATTAAATTTAACTTTCTAAAGTTTTTATGTATATGGGTATTTTGCCTGCACATTTGTATGTCTGTGTACTACATGCGTGCCTGGTGCCCAAGGAGGCATCAGATACCCTGGAATGGGAGTTACAGACAGTTGTGAGCTACCATGTGATGCTAGGAATTCGGCCGGGGTTCATGGGAAGAGGAACCAGTCCTCTTAATTACCAAACCTTGTGTCCAGTCACAACTGTAACTTGCTCAATGTCAGACCATTGTAACTATTCATTCACTCTGGCCATCTGTACAAGCTAATGAAGCCAGGCTCCGACTTCTTCAGCATAAGGAAACCAACTGAGGAGAGACACTGGGGTCGCCAGACCTACAGTGACCCAACAATTTCTGATAGCCTACTGCACATTCATTTTAAGTTGTGACTCAGCTTTAGCTGTGGCCAAGTTCTGTAACTCACTGGCAAGGGGCTGTACTTCCCACCTCTAAGGGCAACAATAGTTCCTATGGAGATACCTGCCTATAAGATTAAAAAGGCCACATATGGCCTTTTCAGGGAAGGAGAACATTGGGCTGCTAGGTCCCTCCCAGAACCCAACAGTTCCCAGCAGCCACTTTTCTGTTTGCCTTGCAAGTGTCAGGGAAGCTCAAAGGATGCAAGGAAGGGAAGAGATGAGCTTGGCAGCCACTAGCACCTGACTCACAGCAAGAGAGGATACCAGGGTTTCCTTCTAAACCTCAGCCAGCAGAATCATCGGGCGAGCATGGCACACAAAGCCTAGCATCAGTAATGTCAGTACTGTAAACTTGACAGGAACAACTTCAACTAGTTCTGGTAGCAAAGACTCGTCAAACCATTATTGATAATTTCCACTTTATTTACTGTACAAGTTCACATAAAACATCCTTTCAGCTAAGGTAGACTTATTGTTACAAGATTAGTTTTTATAATGTACTCCCTTGCCTGAGAGCAACTCAGGACATCACAGGGCCTGCTACTGGTCATAGTTCACACTGCAGCAGGCAGGTCACGGGCATGCTGGGCTGCCAGATCCTCCACAGTCACAAAGGTTTGTATTTGGACATTTTAAATGCACAACATCAGAGGGAACAATAAATGCACAAGGGTTGGTGCATATACTTTGGTTATAGTGACACCATCACACATGGTTACAACTGTGCAAAAATACTGTTTTATGTCATTAAATAAAAAAGGAATTCACACAAGCTATAAAAATGTTGCCACAGAAGCAAAGCTTTTCAACTGACATCACTATGAACTATCCCCAGATGCTCTCAAGTACGAGAACTATAACAAATGATCACTGGGTTTTGTTCATAATATTCTAGAGACCTTGAAAGCCCACACCTAGGCATCTTGAGACAATGCACTGCCCTGTGTCCACAGGGCATTTGGAGAAAGTAAGCTTGCATACTTTTGTCTAGATTTTTTTTCCTCATTCTTTTACCTTCTGTCAGGTTTGTTCTTAAGTGGTCTTGCTACAATGTTTATTCTAGTCTATTCTGGAAATTATGCTCTTCTGCCTCGACCTACTAAGTGCTGGGACAAAACAAACCCAAGCACTGACTGACCTCAGCCTTTTCTTTTCTTGTTGGTTTTGGTTGGTTTTTTTGAGATAAGGATTCACATTGTAACCTAGGCTGGCCAGGAATTCACTGGGTAACCTAGAGTGGCCTAACACTCAAAGCAATCTTCCAACTCTATCCTCTTAAATACTATAGGATTACAAGTGTCTATGATGCTTGCTCGAGCACTTAATTAACTTCAGTAAAAGCAAATAACTGAAAGAATACAAACACCACTTTAAAAACCCAACACTTCTCTAGATATGTATGTTAGGGAATCAGGATGAAAGGCAAACCAAAGTGTCTTACAAGATGCCATGCGGGCTCTTAAATCATCACACCGGAAGACCGAAGTAGTGAGGCGGAGTACAGAGACTGGCTAGTGTTCAAATGTTCTCCCACGGGAACTGACTTACAGCCATTTACACGCCTCTCTTCTACAGCTGCCTGTAGCTGGTTGTGAATAAAGTAATAACCCACTTTTCTATAAACCTGGGTTTTAAAAAACTTATTTTTAAGTGTATGCGTTTTGTCTACATGGAAGTCTGTGTACTACATGCGTGCCTGGTACCTGTGGAGGCGAGAAGAGGATGGTGGATCCCTTAGAACTGAAGTTACAGATAGCTGTGAGTCCCTCATATGGTTGCTGGGACTTAAACACGGGTTCTCTGGAACAGTAGATGAGGTATCTCTCTAGCCCAATAACTACCTTTTCTGTTTGTCTTTGCATAAAAGATTCTAATGGAGTCAAGAAGGATATACTAGGCTCAAGTACAAATTTTACCTTTGGTGCAGCCAGCTATCATTCAGACCCCCTCCCCCCAGAATGTGCCAGGTGGTAGTGGCGCATGCCTTTAATCCCTGCATGCAGGAGGTAGAGACAGGTGGATCTCTGTGAGTTTGAGGCAACCTGGTCTACAGAGCAAGTTCGGGACAGGCTCCAAAGCTACACAGAGAAACCCTGACTAGGTGAGCAGGGGAGAAAAGAAAATAAACTCCAAAAAACCATTGAAGGGAAATGGAATCCTCATCAGATTCTAGGGCACATTCCCTCTTTGCTAGACATGTGGAGGCCTCTGAGTTCCCTGCACGCACACCCTTTTACCACCGGGTCAGGGCTAGAGAGTCTTCACAGTGCCTGACAGACACCTACCACCTGTCCCCATGGGATCAATCTCAACTTCATCGCCTGCTAGTATTTTCTTTAAAAATATTTTTTAAAATTGATTTATTATTTTATATATGAGTGTTTTGTCTACATGTATGTATATATTCATTTACATGTATATGTTTATCTGTATGCATGTGCTTATTGAGGGCAGAAGAGGGTACCCAGAACTCCTGGGGGAACTGGAGTTACAGGTGATTTTGAGCCACTCAACATGGGTGCTGGGGCTTAAACTTGGGCCCCTGGAAGAGCAGGAGCCACTTCTCTAATCTCACCCTGCTACTTTCACTTCGGAAAGATCTGACTTTTCTCACCAGTCCTCAAACCCTCCTCCTTTAACCCTGGTCCTGGCACAGCCACTCCACTGCAGTTAGTGCCGCTAACCCTACTCCAGAGCCATCCAAAGATGAAAACACCATTCCGGTGCCATGTCATACCTGTTTGTCACATGACAGCAGTACATTAAGACTATGAAGTATTTCTAGTAACACATGCTCTTTAAGCACAGATCATCTCAGCATACAAATGCACAGCAACTCAGGAAGCAAGACCATGTCTACAGTACTGTATCAGCATGTAAAGTAGCAGGGAGAGTCAAAATCTGAAATAACAGAGCATACATCTTATATAAATCAAATGGGACAAGAGAACTCATACATACATGTGAAGTCACTTCAATTAAGAATAAACCAGGAACCACCAGACATAGGTAAGGTTCTTATCTAACCAGATATAACAAACACATGCCACACTGACCCCCACTTAACTACCATGTCCAGCATATGGACACTAACCACACAGTCTCAAGCTTCAGCTGGAATCTTCTGTCCAGCTCTGCTCAAGCTTGGCCTGACCATGGCCCAGAAGACAATATGAGGAATGTATAAATGTGAGAACAAAGGAATTACCAGTTATAACATTTTTGTGCAAATATGAAGAGATTTCCATTATGACTAAAAGTGGAAACTCTAGGTAAGGGAAAAAAATCCATTTATCATAGATTGTGTATGTGTAAGTTAAAAAAATATATATCAATGAAATCCACCTTGACATTCATCCATATAATAAATAGGACCACAGAACCTGCCAGCAAGTTCCTTCCCTTTATAATGCAAGTGATGCCAACAGACCCTAGCTGTTCTCAGTGCTTGCCATGTACATGTGAGCATATGGGGCAAAATGAAAAGAAAATGAATTCATCACTAGCACCATCAAAATAACTATAAAACAAAGCCAGACAGTTTCTATCTGAATTAAAAACTTATTCCTAATAACCATCCTAAACTAAACCACTTGTATAAAGGGTCCATCCAGATAACAATGCACAATGTCTTTGCAAAGCATCTACAAAACTGGGTTGAGTACCAGAGTTTAGGAAAAAAGGAAAAACACATGGCAACAATGACCATGGGCCCTGAAAATATCAGAGAAACAAGAATAAGATTCGGCAGTACTTCTCAGAAAACTATGAGGACTCTGATAAGCATTATATACTTTGGCTGTCATAACCACAAACTGAATAGAAGCTTCCCATTCTCACAGTAACACAGACATGGCGAGCTGAAAACTATGACATAAATTGTGTGGCTTATTTACAACAAAATTAAGTCATTAAATGGGCATCCCAGAAGGATTGCTTTGCCTGAAGACAAAACTAAAAAGGAATGAGCTGCATGCCACAAAGATGTCAGCCTTCACTTGAGGTCTCCATCTCCTTCTCCATCCCCTTGGATGGACTTCTTGATACGAAGCAACATGGTGGTCAGCCACTGATCCAAGCGTGATATTGAGTCAAACTCCTTCACCTGGTTTAAGGAACGAAGAACAGGAATTATACCCTGAAATATATTGAAAACACAATACGACAGTGACCTAAGCTGTTTAAGATGTTACTGTAATAACCCACTGACTTTGATTAGAAATTATTCATTCTAATTTATAACTTTCCTCCGTAAAAACAGTTTTCCCAGCACTGGGGAGACAGAGGCAGGTGGATCTCTGTGAATGTGAGGTCAGCCTGGTCTACAGAGTGAGTTCCAGGGCAGCCAGGACCACTGCACAGAGAAACCAAGTCTCAAAAAAACTAAACAAACACAAATAAACAAAAACATTTCCCCAAAACCATTTCCTTTATTCCATAAGCCTGTGCATTTAATTTTTCTCTGTATGTGAACATGTGCATGACAATTCAGAAAAGCTATTATAAATGCAAAGGTAAATTCTTTGTGCAGAGGACAGTGGACATGGCACAAGAATTAGAAAGGTGGCAGAAAACTATTATTTACTGACCATGAAAAAAATATAATCAAATAATTAGGGGGTGGGGGCAGAATTCCCTTGACGGATTTCAGCACGTGCAAAGGAAGACAGTGACAATGCTGAGAGTACTTTGAGGGTGGAAGTTATGATGTCCCTTTTCACTGTCACTTTAGGACTGGAGCTGAATCATTCCAGGCTGCTGAGAAATATAAAAGATAAAGCAAACAAAAAGTAGAAAAAAAACCCCCAAGTACGAAGAAAGTAACACAGATACACCACAGTACACCAAATGCCCAGTTTTGATACGTCAGTCTTAACCATAGGCCCTCCTTTACACTGTCAGACTGTTTTCAGCACTAACATTCCGTGTGACAACTCTCACAAATGTGTGTGTCAGGTGCCATGGAGGTCAGAAGAGGGCGCAGGATCCCCTGAAATTGGCATCAGAGATGGTTATGAGCTGTGGCATGCTGGGAATTCAACTCTGGTGCTTTAAAGAGAGACAAATGTTCTAAAGCACAGAGCGATCTCTTCAACCCTAGAGGATCGAGCTTTGTGGACAAACAAAACATCTTTAGAAAATACAAGCAACTGAGCCACATTCAAATAAATGTTCAAAATTTACACAAGGTAAAGAAAAATGAATTTTTACACTATAAACCTTTAAAAGTGCAATATTCCCTAAAGGTGTAACTTACTGCTTCAGTGTAAGCTTCACTGTTCTGTTCTTCATGGGCTTCTAGAAGTTTCTGGTGATATTAAAAAAAAACCGAGAAAATACTTTAAGTTAGAAAGTCCTGTTTCTGAAGGAATACTTTAGACACAATCCACTTTGGTATCTCATGAACTGATGTTCCTAGTATCTCACAAAACAGGATATATCCAGATATAAGTATTACCCAAGAAGAGGATCTAACTTTGTACTGCTATTTCAAGTCTGCCTACTTTGGAACAGTGTTAAACACTGAACTTTCTTGACATAGGAATATCTACGATGAAAGAGCCAAGTCTGAGGTGCTCAAAAAATGGCTTGTCTTCATTGTCAACTTTGTCACTATTTATACACATCTTTGGGTGTTTCAGGAAAAGTTTAACTGAAGAAGGAAGAACTAAAGAAGGAAGACCCACCATCTCTTGAGTCCTGGACTGAATAAAAGGGAAGAGCAAGTGAGGCACCAGCATTCATTTCTCTCTGCTTATTTATTCATTGACGACACAGTGTGACCAAACACCTCATCCCCCTGGTGCCATGATGGATGCCTATCAAACTGTAGCCAAAACATACTTCCTCTATTATTTCATTACAGTAATAAGTCCAGTAGCCAGTACACCCCCAGAAGAGTTACTGATGAAAACTCCACCCATCAGCTGTCCCACTTTGGTGCTATCACCCAACAGTAAAAGTTTTTGTCTTCAAAGTTGCTTTAGTACGTACTTTCAATAATTTACATTCTCTGGAGTCAGTAAATGCTGGAAACATTTCCTCATATTTCTCAAGAGCAAGCTGAGGAAGGAAAACAACTGGTCAATATAAAACCTAGTAAACTAAGAAAGTTGTCAATGCCCTGTTAATCCAAAAAAACTATTTCAATCCCATTTAACTGTTGAAGAAATATGTTAAACACATCATAACAGGAAACCTATTTATGCTAGCTATTTAATTTCAATTGAGAGTAAAATTTCTAAAAATTTTTAGATTTCAGTTGGGCTACTGGACAGAAGAAAACTGAATACAATCTAATTCACTTGCCAGGATCTATGCTTGTCTGCTAAACTGAGACCTTCCTTCACACCCTCCAAATGCCAAATACCCAGGAAGGACCCTGGCAGTTTTTCTTTGCGGCTCTTTGAACGCTAGATGGCAGTGCCAAGGCTGCTCAGGCCCAATCCTACTTTCTAGTTGTCCCCTTGTTTTGAAGTTTTATCCGATCTTTATTTTAATTCCACTTCTGAGGTTGTCTTCGAACTTTTTAAGAGTACTTAGAAGCTGGGTGTGGTGATCTATACCTTAATCCCAGCATTTGGGAAGCAGAGGCAGGTGGATCTCTGTAAGTTCAAGGTTATCGTGGTCTACACAGTAAGTTTCAGGACAGCCAAGGATACACAGGGAGAACCTGTCTCAACAACAAAGCTAGTAGGGGCAATGAGGTAGTTTAGCAGGTAAAAGCAGTTTGCCACCATGTCTGACTTGAGTTTGATCCATGGGTCCTATATGGTAGAAGAAGACTAACGCCTAAAAGAGGTTCTCACATGGGTGCTGTGACATAGCCACAAGCAATCCCTTCCCCATAAAATAAAGTAAATAACAAGCAAATGTAAAAAGGACAGAGAACATTGATTTCACTGTCTTATCTCTTAGTCCCCCATTCTATTTAAGCAACCACTAATGGAAACGTGAAGAGGACAACACTGCAGCTGTCAAAAGATTCAAACTCACACATCACAGAAGAACTATTATTTTTACTTGTATATGTTGGGGCAGGATAAGTATGTATTCATGTGGCTGTGTGTATCTGCACATAAGTATGTATATGTGGAGGTAAGGGGACAATATCAAGGATCTCTCTCTGTCATCCTCCACCTTATTTTTGAAATAGAGCGTCTCTCTGAACCCGAAGGTTCATCACTTGGCTCAGGGACCAGCTTATCTCTGCTCTGCTCCTCAGTGCTGGAATTACAGATGTGAGCCACTGCACCTGACTTTCACATGGGTGCTGGGCATCTGAATGAGAGTCTGCAGGTTTGTGAGTTAAGTCCTTTATCAACTGAGCCATCGCCACAGCTCTTAAGACCTGTGTGAAGAGACATCAAGAATGACAAAGCACGTCTTCTGAAAGGAGCGTGTTCTCACCTTGGCATTCAGCTCATCCACTATAAAATGACAGAGCGCTGCCTTGAAGAAGTAATCCTTTGCACTGTACTTCAACAAGGGGTTATCCATAGTGTTTGCTCCTACCTAGGCAGAGAAGACAGCAAAATCACTAGCATAGGCAAACAATCCACTGCCTACTCACCTGTTTTATTCTAAAAAATACTTTTCAGTATCTTATACTGATATACTCAATCCCAAATAGTACAAAGTTTTACTAGATAAGAAGTAATTGTTAGGCACAGAAACTGTTAAAAATTTCTAAAAACACTTCTGTTTCTAAGACAATGGAAAAGGTCTAAACTTTCCCCCATTCTTCCTATGAAGTGCAACTAGAAGTTTATTAAGAAAAATAAATGTCTATTCCATGATATTTTGAACGCATTCTGACAAAGTTTGCTTTTAGTCAGGGGTGGAACTAGCCATTAACTGACCAAAATTAAACAAAGAGGTCTTGAAGGACTGAGGACAGACAGGAAATAGGAAGTAGTAAGGTAGGATTATTTGTTCTTTTGATGTCCAATCTCTTGAGTTCTTTGTATATTTTGGAGATCATACTTCTGTCTGATGTGGGGTTGGTGAATCTTTTCCCATTCTGTAGGCTGTCATTTTGTCTTGTTGACTGTGTCCTTTGCTTTACAGAAGCTTTTCAGTTTCAGGAGGTCCCATTTATTCATTGTTTCTCTCAGTGTCTGTGCTGCTGGGGTTATATTTAGAAAGTGGTTTCCTGTGTTCAAGTGTACTTCCCACTTTCTCTTCTGTGAGGTTCAGTGTGGCTGGCTTTATGTTGAGGTCTTTGATCCATTTGGACTTGAATTTTGTGCACGGTGATAGATAGATATGGATCTATTAAGAAGTAGTAAGGTAGGACTCAGAGAGGATCTCAGCTTTTTGGACTGAGGAATGGAAGAGAAGAGAAGGCCACTGGTGGCTTCTCCATCACTTCTCTGTTCAAGGTTCTTACTCCATATCTGACTCCCAATGTTTTTTTGATAAAGAATGATTAGCTAAACACTTCAAATGTCTGTGGACAGAGGCCCAGGACAGCCAACCAACCAGGGGTATGCAATCTGGGAAAACCCCACGTGGGCTAGGAAGTGGGGCTACTGAGTTTATTCTTCTTTACTATAACCTCAACATAGAAATAAAGAACCTAGCATCCACAAATTCCAGGGGAAGTCAATTAAGAGAGAACAAAGGTCATAAGAGGCCTAACAAGGGTGGGAACTTTCACATCATAATGGTAAGGCTACTTTCCTCTGCCCAGGGAGAATGAGAGTTTCCTTCCTAGGTATTAACCAAGGCCAAAGGGGAGCCTGAGCTCAACTTCCACCATGGGCCCCTAGCTGTCTAAACAATTAACACTATCTGCGGCCAGAACAAAGAGGGACGATAAAAATCAGATGCAGCCTGGAGCATAATCTGAAGATCACCAATGACGGCACAATCTGAAGCTGACCACAGAGGCAGCAGACAGTTTCAGGGGACAAAACCTCAGAGGGGCGGGGGTGGTGGTGTCCCCCCTCCACTCCTGTCCCCAAAGACCCATCTCCTCTCTCCCTTCCCCCCTTTTCCCATTTACTTCCCCCCAATAAAAGCTCTTCCCCGTGAGTTGTCACAGGGCATTTTTCTCTCTCCAGCCGCTCTTTTTAAATTACAATACCCATCCTAACTGCCACAAATAAAGTTGAGGAAGGAGCTGAATATCAATCAGGCTTCACCATTCTCTGCCTCCTGACTGTGGAGGCCACGTGACCTGCTGCCTCATATTCCTGCTGCTGTGAGTTCTGACCATAAAGGACTTATACCCAGGAACTGTAACACTCCCCTCCCCGGACCCCTCTGTGGTTTTGGTTTTTTGAGACAGGGTTTTTCTGTGTATCCCTAGCTGTTCAGGAATTCACTCACAACCAGGCTGACCTTGAACTGGCTGACTCTTGCCTCCCAAGTGCTGAGATTAAAGGCAGTGCTACCAATGCCTGCCTAAACCTTTCTGTCTTTAAATTACTCTTGTCAGGCATTTAGTCACAGCAACACAAAAACTTATATTACTTAAATACCAAATATTAAAAAATGGCAATATTCTCTGAGGATTAATTCTACATGTCAACTTGAGTAGTCCATGGGTGCCCAGATACTAGAATATCGCCCTGGATGTTTCTGAGTAAGATTTAGCATTTCAATCAGCAGAGGAGAAAAGCAGACTTCCCTTCCCAACAGAGATGGGCCTCAGCCAAATTACTGATGCCTGAACCAATAAGAAGTCTAAGCAAAGGGGCTGGTGAGATGGCTCAGAGGTAAAGGTGCTTACACCAAGCTGGGCAGCCTGTTAAATTCCTGGATTCCTGGTGAGAGAAGTGACTTCTACAATTTTCCTTGCATTTGCCCCTGCCCCAATAAATAAATGTAATAAAAATACACTTTTTTTTTTAAATTTAAGAAAAGGACAGCTGATCCTCCTCACCTGATAGCTCTAGAATTGAGAAAAAGCTCTTTTGCATTCGGGCTAGGCTCATATCATCTGTTTTCATGATAGATCTGGGCCATCTCAACCACTACCACTGAGAGTGAACCCCTAACATCTTTCCTTTCTTCCTGCACTCCAATCTACTGGCTCTGTCTGTCTCTGGAGAACCTTAATTAATATGCTCTTTGAATTGCTGTACACACCCAGTTAAAGTCCTATTAACAGAGAGGCTAGGTTCATTGCAGGATAGCATACTGATCCCAACATTTATGTTAGCTCAAGGGACTCAGCAGGAGGACAATCTTGAGAAGGACTGCAGGACAGACAGTTCCTGTTTTCAGATTTCCCTGTAAAGATACCTTTGTCAGAACTAAGTGATACCGGCATAAAGCTAGACGGATGGACGGAGCAGAGCCCAGAATGAAGCCCCTGGAGTGAAACAGCTACCAGACCATGAAGAGTGTTTTTAACTGGTGACAGTGAGCACGGTGATGTTCGCACGTTAGAGTGAAGGTGGATCCCCGGCTAACGAGCACACGAATAGCTTAACTCACTGGACCAAAGCCCTGAACCAAAGGGCAGGAATCTTAAGGCTCTTAGAACAAATCACTGGCTAAAAAGACTCAAGATGCTCAATTTAAATATACAAGGATTCAACACCAAAATACAGATAGTAAAAAGGAAAAGACAAACTAAGAGTTCATAAAAATTAAAAATTCAGAGGCTGGCGAGATGGCTCATTTGGTAATGTGCTTGTTGTCTGGAGACTTGAGTTTGAGTCCCAAGACCCACACACAGAAGGAGAGAATTAATTCCTTCAAGTTGTCCTCTCTTTTCCACAGCTTTTCCATACTCTATTTTCTACACTCACATACTCCACACACACAAAACAAATACATGTAAAAATTATTTTAAAGATTAAAAAAATCTAGATCAAGGCAAATAAATAACAGAATAAAATGGAAATTCATACAATAGGAAAAAAGTGTTACATTATTCCTGACCATAAAGAACTTGTATCCTAATATCTAGGATTAAACAATTCCTAAATCTCAAAATGAAAAAGGACTCAGACATTTCACCAAAACCAGAAAACAGTCAGTGAGCACATAAAAATTAATATAACTCATCATGAGAGAAAGAAGAAATGACCCTTCACATTCATTAAGCATCACAGAGAGATGCTAGTGAGGATATAGAGAAGTTGAGCCCTGGGCACTGCGCTGGGAACACTCAATGATTCAGTACTCTGTAAGATTCCGGTAGTCCTCAGTAAGGCAGGCTTGGGTGTACCATGAAGCCCAACAATCTCTATTCCATCCCCAAGTACGCAGCCAAAAGTACTGAGAACATGTTCCCACAATAGTTAAGGACAAAAGTTCACAGCAGTATGTCCTCAATAGACCCTAAGTGGAAGCACCCCAAATGCTTACTAACAGATGAACATATAAACCACAGAGTAAATATTATTCAACCATGAAAAGTGATGAAACATTGACACATTACAAGATGAAGAACCTTGAAAACACTGCGACAAATGACAAAGTCAGTCACAAAAGAACAGATAGTGCAGTATTCTGTATATGTGAAAGGGTCAAGAATGGCAAATCAGGGAAACAGAAACCAGGCTGTCTTTCTTTCCAAGCGTCTTTGGGAGTGCCGGGAATGTTTCAGGCAGTAGGTAGCAGTGACTGTTACAAACCTAACAGTGTCCTCACCTGCTCGTAGATCTCGATGGCTTTCTGATACTGCTCCAGCTGTGCAGCGTAGGCCGCCACCTTCAGCAGACACTTGTTAGCAGAGCTGAAAGGAGGACAGTGCAGAGTAAGTGACAGCACTGAGGAGACACGCCTGAGGCCACGTGCTTCCGGCAGAGATGCTCAGATGACAGAGATGAGCTATCCTTTACCACATATGAAAAGCCCATTACAGATACGAAGAAAAGCATGTACCTGTTGGATTCTTCTCCTTTGTAATAATCAGCAGACTGCTCATAATGTGCAATAGCCTGAAAGTACATACATGTAATTTACAAACAATTCATTCCAAAAATTGCATTTAAAAACTACACTTGGGGGCTGGTAAGATGACATGGTAGGTAAAAGCGCTTGCTGCCAAGCCTGACACTTGAGTTTGATCCCTGGAACTCTGATGGTGGAAGGAAAGAAGGGATTCCTGCAAGTTGTCCCCTGACGTCCACAAGCATGTCATGACACATGTGCACACACAGAATAAATGAATATATGTAAGAAAATTTTAAAACTACACGTACACCGATATTTTTTCCTATAATTAAGCTTATTCCAGTGATAAATCTTTCTGAACTTGGTCTCCTCAGCAAATACAGTAAAGCATGTGGCCCTGAAACCTCCTGGAGACAGAATGGTTGATTTCATTCAAATCTATCTGTGGAATGACAAATGTTCCTCTTAGGCTCACATATTTGACAACTTGGCCCCAGTTCGTGGTGCTGTATGGAGAGGTTATGGGGAAGGACAGGCTTGCTGGAGGGTGGGCTTTAAGAGTTTACAGCCCCATCCCACGTCTACTTCCTTCTCTCCTCTGTGTTTGACTTTTAAGATATGATTTCTTGGCTTCCTGCTTCTGCCACAATGCCTGCCGCTTGCTGTCATGCCTCCCTGTCATGATGGAATCTATCCCCTTATAAGTGCTTTATTCCACAAATCACTTATGGCCACGCTGTCTCATGTACAGCAACAGAAAGTAACCAGTAGTTACTTACTCACGGCTAATGGTCGGCTTCCACTGCAGTCAGGGTGGCCCCATGACTAGCTCTCTGATAGAATGGGAATACTCAAACATCTTACCTGTACCTTTTCTTCTTTTCCACTTTCTAAAAGTTATAAGACACAGTCAGGTCCGAGGCGACTGAAGATGGCTGGATTCTATCAACCTGCTTCCTAACTGACCCCTTATCCCAGCATACTCATCCCTGTCAAATCTGCACTCTGAAGTATTAGTTTAGAGGGCTCTGAAGCCGTTATTCTCTGCATCTTACTGCAACAGCTTTGGCTTTTCCTACCACCACAAGTATCACCTAAGCAAAGGAGTTGCTTCTATTTAAAATATGTGACACCCAAGCAACAGTCAAATGGATAGAGAACAGTCAAATGGATAGAGAAATGGATAGAGAAGAAAGCCAGAAGCCCTCATTGGGCTGTGACAAGAGTATTAGTGAATCAGACCCAACCAACACTTTAGATGGTAGAACACACTATCAGAGCCCCAAAGCATGCCAAGCAGTTAGAAGAACAGGATGGTGGTGTATACTGCTTTAATAAATCTGATGAGAGTGGGGCGGAGGTGGTGCATGACTAATCCTAGCACTCGGGAGGCAGAGGCAGGTGGATCTCTGTGAGTTCAAGGCCACCCTGGTCTACAGAGTTCCAGAGCAGCTAGAGCAGCTACACAGAGAAACCCTGTCTTCCTGTCTTGAAAATCCAGAAGGAAAAAGGAAAAAAAAGCCTAATGAGGATGAATCTGGAAACAATTAGCTGCTGTTCAGGCAGTTATGGGGCAACAGACCATGTGTGCTGGTAAGGGCCTGAAAAACCACTGGCTTCAACAGCCCAAATGGCAACAGGTGAGTCTGTAGGAGGCTTTAAAACAGAGATCCGATAAGCATTTTCTGCAGTGGCTTAACTCATACTTTGGGGTCTAGGAGTTGACCGAGCTCTGCTGGCAAGTACTCAGTGATCCTGTAACAGCACAGCCACCAATGACATCGGAATACGTGCTGTGTCTAGAGATTGACAAGAGAACTTCATTTTCACATGATTTCAACATCTGAAAAAGTTGATTTGGAGGGCAGGTCAGAGGCACGTGGAAGTCAGTGGATACTCTGTGGAGTGGGTTTTCTCCTTCCACTTTGTCTGGGTTCTGGGGCTGGACTAGTTCTACAGGCTTCACAGCAAGTGCTTGACCCCCTGAGCCCACCTCATTGGTCCAATTTTTATGGGTCACAAACGGTTCTGATTCTGATGATTTAGCAGTAAAACACTTTTGTTAGCTTTTAGACACAAGCAAGCAATAGGTTTGCAGTCCTCTGCCTTAATTTACAAAGCTTTCCCAATAAGCTCCAAATACACAACTACTGGCACATGAAAATAAGACTAAAGGTGCTAGGTACAGAAATAAGAAAACAAATACAACAAAGCAGGCTTGAGAACTACACCTGAATACCCCTTTAAAAGCCTGCGGCCTCAGCCTGTCTGTAAAGTGGTGATTACAGCTCCCGGAGCCAATACTACCAAAGTCTCTAGGTTGTGGAACATACCGACGATACACACTTGAACAATTCTTCAATAAGACACCTCTACTCTGTATTTCAGCCATATAGCCCACCTACCTACTATGCTCCCCAAACAAATTTCCTCGGTGTTATTTATAATAGAAAAGAAAAAAAAGAAACAACTTCACTGGTTCAACATGTGAGCTACATACAGTTAAAGGTAATGGGTAGAAGTGCCAAGGCAGAAAAAGGTTAGGTACACTATGACCCCCTTTTAACAGATACAAAAGCTCATACATAGGATAATACAATCACTAGGAATCCTCAGAACCATCACACACATTGTTCCATTTTCCTCAGAAGCAAGTTCTGTGAGGGAAAGCCCAGGACTGCTGTTCACCATAGATAGCATCCTAAGCCTAGGATAAGATCTATCTATGTATGTGCTCAGTAACCAGAAGGGAATGAACAAAAGGCTCCTGCTAGAGCACTGTCAACATCCAATACAAAGGACCAAAGCAATTCAGCGAAGTTATGATTGGGGGCTGGGGTGTAGCCTAGTAGTAGATACATGCCTGGCCTCTATGAAGCTTGGGATTTGATGCCTGGCCTCACTCTCTTTCCCCTTCTGGACCATTCTTACTCTCTGAACTGCTCAGCATTGTTTCCACTGTAATAAATGGATCAAGGCACAAAAAGCTATACCCATGTCTCTTGTAAAAAACCTGGACCACAGACCCTCTTCCTAGAGAAAGGGAGCTACCCTTTACCTAGTTTTTCACTGACAGCAATGAACAGGGTTGAGCTGAGTCACATGGAGCTGCTGTCTCAGATAGAAAGACTGGGGGAAAGTCCATACTTAACAATTTGGTCTAACTTAATATTTATTAGGAAGATGTCCATTATAGCCATTATTTATTTATTTAGTTAGTTTTTTTAGGCAGTGTTGTTGGAACTGTCCTGGAACTTGCTATGAGTTCAGGCTGGTCTTGAACTTACAAAGACCCAACTGTCTCTACCTCCCAAATGCTGGTATTAAAGCCACTCCTGGCTACAAGGTTTTTGTTTTGTTTTAATTATTTATTTTTTGATATTATAATTACATCATTTTCCCTATCCCTTTTCTCCCTCCAAACACTCCTTGCTCTCTTTCAGATTTGGGGCCTATTTTTTCATTAATTGTTGTTACACATATCTTCCTAAATATATAACCTGCTCAGTCTGTGTATTAGGGCTGGCCATTTGGTACTGGATAACCAACTGGTATGTTTGTCCCTGGGCATGACTATTTCTCTTGCTCACAGCATTCTTTAGCAGCCTGCAGATTTTGGATAGGGCTGAGGCCCGCATTTTCCTTTGTCCACACTAGAACATCTATTGCTGTCCTTGTTCAGCTGACCTTTAGGCAATCCTGCTGGTGAGGCTTTATGGACATACTTTCAGGAAGAGACTATCTCATGGAAAACTCCCCGTTCCTCTGACTCTTAAATCTTTTTTGTTTGCTTGTTTGCTTGCTTGCTTGCTTTTTCTGAGACAGGGTCTCTCTGTGTAGCTTTGGCTATCCTGGAACTTGTTCTGTATGTGTGTGTGTAAAGTATACATATTTTTTTTTAAAGGCAGTGCCTTGCTATGCAGCCATACTGGCCTTGAGTTTTTAACTCTTCAGTTGCAAACTCCTGACTGCTGGGATCATATGCACATCACACCCAGCCTTTATTTCTTAAACTACGTCAACAGAACAAGATACATCAGTGAAAAAAAAGGTGCCACCTACTGGCTAATTCGCAGAATAACAAAAACAGACCAGGTACTAGAAGTTCAAAAGGCCACCATGACAAACCAAAAATAAAAAATGACAACCCTAGAAGCCATTTCATTCACCCCAATTTGTGGACCCCATGTAGTGACGTGGTTGTGTGATAAATTCCCTGGTATAAGGAATGGGCTCCAAGCCAGAGTGCCCTTCTGACTGCCAGGCCAGAGTGCTCTTCTGACTGCCAGGCCAGTGTGCTCTCCTGACTGCCAGGCCAGTGTGTTCCTCTGACTGCCAGACCAGTGTGCCCTCCTGACTGCCAGGCCAGTGTGTTCCTCTGACTGCCAGGCCAGTGTGCTCTTCTGACTGCCAGAGCAGTGTGCTCTTCTGACTGGCAGGCCAGTGTGCCCTCCTAACTGCCAGGCCAGTGTGCCCTTCTGTCAGGCCAGTATGTTCTTCCTGACTGCCATGGGCCTGGAATCAACCCCGTGGATGATGCTTGTGCATATTCCACATGCTCCACAGGACCCACTTTTCAGACAATGTCCATCCCAGTTACTGAGAAAATTAAGTCCCCGTCACAGCAGACCTGTCCCCTGCCACCCCTTTATTAATCCTACACCAGAGGTAAACTGTAGACTCTATTCACTCCCCAGGCCCCAGTCTGTGCACCAACGCACACACATGTGGGATAGCTCTCTTCAGATTAAGACCAGGGCTTCCTCAAAAAAACAAAAAATAGGAGTAGGGCTGTGTGTGTGTGTGTGTGTGTGTGTGTGTGTGTATGTGTGTGTGTGTGTGTGTATGTTGGGGGGTGAACAGCATGAAGTAAATGCAACAACTGTAGCTGTTGTTATGATATCAGTCTTGCATGCTTCCTGCATCCTTGACTATGTCAGAGAGGGCAGTATGCTTGCTTACTCATTAGTATTTGTTTAGAACCTACTATGTCTTGGCCCTTGGGCCTATCAGAAAAGTAGTGGCAGACTCGGCAGATATGGCACCAAGCCCAGAGGTGGGAAGGAGACAGAAATACCAGAACTGTGAACAAGCGTATGCCATAGGATGAAGGGTGAAATGTGGTGGTAAAAAGGTGGGGATGAGTAGAGAGTGTGCATTTGTGGAGGTGTATCTGGTTAAGTATTCCTAGGGTCTATAATCTTAATTAGGGGGCCATCAGCTGGAAAGGGTGATAAAGGACACAAGGAGTCAGCTTGTGGGGTGCGAGGAAGAGTTGGACAAGCAGAGGGAACAGCTGGTACCCAGGTCCCAGGGCAGTGGCTAGAGCAAGGTGGACAGAGAAAAAGAACAGGATAAAATTGAGGCCCCAGAGGTGTGTGTGGGAGTGTGGTGGGAGGAGCAACTCAGTGAGGTCATGAAGAGCTAATGCAGGTCTCCAGCTGTTCCTGAAGGGTGTGTCAACAGAAGCCTGTACGCAGGGGCTGGAGAGTTCTTCCAAAGGACCCAGGGTTTGATTCCCAGTGTCCACAGGATCAACCCATCTGTAACTTCAGTTCCAGGGGATCCAATGCTCTCTTCTGGCCTCCAAGGGCACATGTAGACAAAACACCCAAACATATAAAATGACTGTTTGTTTGTTTGTTTGAGACAGGGTTTCTTTGTGTAGCCTTGGCTGTTCTCGAACTAGCTCTGTAGACTAGGGTGGCTTCAAATTCAAAGATCCACCTGCCTCTAACTCCTGAGTTCTGGGATTAAAGTTATACACTACCTTGGCATGGCTTAAAATGGATCTGAAGAGATCACATGAAACCAGGGACAGGTACTGAGTAAGAAGGGCTGAGACACGAGTAGTGAGAACAGCACCCAAAGCAACTCCTCACAATCCAGATGGGGACAAGAGAAAGGGCAAGGAAGCCTGCTGACTGGAGAACTTAGGGGTAGGGCGGCACTTGAGAAGATAAGTAATCTGGTCTAAAACCCACTGGCTCAGAGACGACTGTGGGACCCAAGAAGAAAGGCCGGCAAGCAGATGGGAGCAGTGGCGTTGAGCAAGTAATGCTGACTGAGGGTACAGCGCATGCCCTCAACATCTCCAGAGCCTCAGAGAACTTGGCAGACAGGTGGCAAGTCTTGACTATTCTGACATGATCAACGCACAGACAACAGGTAAGCTCAGTATCTCTCTGGCACTCCAGGTAAAGAGTCCCTTTACTCTGCCAGCTAGGCCTAGGCAGTGTCCTCCAGGATACCTGTGATGATTCCGGACTACTCCAATCAGCTGGGAAAGAGCAGGAGAGGATTCCTAAGCCAAGCATCTACCTTCTGCACCGTGCTCATAGGCGTGGCCAGTGCTCACCTTCTCAATGTCCACAAGCTCAGTCTCATAGATCTCTGCAATCGTGATGTGATGCTTGGCTGCGATTGTAAACCTTCCCTAGGGGAGAGAGCAGAGTCATCCACCTGCTTTACCTACACAAAACACCAATCAGTTTGAGAACAGGAAGAAAAACATAACTCTAAAGCAGCTCAAGGATTCCACCCCATAGCCATTCAAGCAATGCAACGTCTTACCATGTCTGTGTAAATGTCGATGGCTGCATTTAAGCAGTTGATAGCCTCTGAAGCGTGGGCATTTAAGAAAAACAATGAAAAATTCATTCAGTGAAAGAGGGTTCAGCTGAGCCTGTTACCTGGCTGTTACTGATGGCAGGAGGTAAAATCTGGGGTAGTGGGTCAGCAGGCTGGTTAGTGGGAGCAGACACAATCATGCACAGTCCAGACTCATTAGTGTGGCTTTGTTCCTAGCAGCTGCCCTGGTATTTAAAGATGTGTGGCTGCAGTAATACTGACTCAGTAACTCTTAGGGGATTCATCCAGGTGGCAGATTCTATTACAAAGGAAGTAAGATCACAGGGATTGCCACCCACTCTGGTAAATCAAACCTACTACTTACTGTACAAGGTCAATACCTTTATTAATACCATGTGTGTTATATTAATTTTGGAAAATATCACTTCTTCACAAGAAAGACCATTTCAACAATCTCCACTCTTCATGTGGCCAACATCAAAAGCACTTTGGAATGCTTGCTCAACTCTTCCTTTTTAAGGGAAGAATGTTTCTTTTGGCTTGTGACTTAATAGGCAACCATGACAAGAAAGTACTGCAGCAGGAACATGAGGCAGCTGGTCAAACTGCACTCACAGTCAGGGGTGTGACTGTAATAATCCAAATATGCAAATGTGTATACTGCTTCAAGACGCTAAACTTTGGTATACTAACAGTTACGTTGGTATGCATATCCAAGAAATGAATGGAAAACTTTACAATGACGACACTAATTAGTTACATTCGTTTCCTAAAACATCGAGCCACAAAGTGTCCTCTCACAGAACAGTATGGCTGACAGCACCAAGTTTGCCTTCAGTTTAAAAGAGACAGCAAGGAAACAAAGCTTGACTGGAGAAACAGAAAACTGACGAGAACAACAAAAATGAAAAGTGACTTCCCTGAAGTGTATTCAAAAGTGTGCACTCACTGCTGCGCCTTTCCAGTTAGAGGAAACCAGAGAGCGCGGTTATCTACACTACCACCCAGGCCCAGCATTTCCACTTCAGTGCCTTCCTTTCCAGTGTCCTGGATATGTTTCCACATGCACATGTTTTTGTTTTGTTTTAAGAAATTGTGGCCACATAACACTGTTCCTTAATTTAATTAGCAAGTGAACATCAAACATTCTATGAATCCAAGTTTGTTTTTTTTTTTAAGGTAGGATCTCATATTGCAGGCTGGTCTGCAACTCCCAAGTCCCCAGCCTCAAGCTTCCTAAGTATAGGGATCACAGATGTGTGCCACTACAGCCAGCCCCAAACCAACCGGGACTCAGATGCTTGTGTGATGATATTCTATAATATGGAGTCATTCTGCTCACACCCACTCTGCTCATACCCGCTGTGCCCATTCTCCCACTTTTGGAAATAAAAATATAATTAATCTTTATACAAAAAAGCTTGATGACATTTTTCTTTGGGTATATTCCTAGAAGTTTAGACTTGTGTGTTAAACTAAATAGACTACAGAAAAAAAGAAGACTCAAGATAACCATATACATGGATGAGATTTTAATACCTTTAGTTTAATCCTTCTTGAAAGAAAAGTAACATTTGCAAAAATTTTACCAATAAAAGTTCAATATTCTTTTCTATATAAAAAAAGAGCTTTGAAAAGCACTTAGAAAAACAGTGCTTTTTTCACTGTCCAGTGAAAAAGCTGGACAGTGGTGGTGCACGCCTTTAATCTCAGCACTTGGGAGACAGAGGCAGATGGATCTCTGTGAGCTCAAGGCCAACCTGGTCTACAAGCGTTAGTTCCAGGACAGCTAAGACTGTTACACAGAGAAACCCTGTCTCAAAAAAAAAGAAGAAAAAAAGAAGAAAAACAATGAAAAGAGTGTTGTGAGATTAAGACACCTTTTAACCACTGAATACTACACTCCTTCCCTAAGCGAAATACATTTAGGAGGATGGAAACACCAGGATTTCCTTCTTTGTTCAAGAACATATTTCATAAAAATAAAGATAAGGTTACTATAATCCCAGCATGTGAGAGGCCGAGGAAGGGGAGTGCAGAGCTTCGAGTTTGAGGCCAGCTTTAGCTACATGATGAAAACTGTTCAAATGTCCCTCAACTCCTCCACAGTGATATCTTTATGATTAGAGTAGACATTATTAAAATGACCAAAATTTATTTCTTATTCCATAATGCAAGAATTGTTATTACCACGATCCAGCACAGCACACCAGCCTCAACACTCCATGAGACGCTGCTGGCCAGAGACACAGAGAAGTGGCCTTACCTTGAGGGTCTGCCTTCTTGTAAGCATTTCCAGCATCCACAAAGCTGGTAGCGGAGTCATGTTTGCTCTGAAGCTGCATGTGGAGCTTGGCGGCTTGACAAAACGCATTTCCTGCAGCTGAAGGAGATGTCACAATTAAACAGTGAGGAACAGCTTCCCAAAAGACTCCAGGCTCCACACAGAAAAGATAGAGGTCTCTAAAAAGAATCCCTGCAGCCAGAGACTGCATGCATCAAGACAAGTGTAACTGGGTGTTGGTCACTTTTCCCTGATAGCTCCAGAGGACTTGCCAAACATCCTGGACACTGAGCCGCCTTTTTCTGACCCACCACTCAATGACTGACAGTCAACATTTAGGATCTTAAGCTCTTTCCCACACCATAAGATCAGCCCAACAAGGAGCACTTTGGCCTTACACAGCTAAAGAAAGGCTAAGCACTGAAACCAAGGCTATCTATTCATCTACATCTACATATTTCTCAATCCTAGGGTCCCTGTTAATCAAGTGTCACTGTTCAATCTGCTCCACTAGAGAAACATGACTTAGAATGGCATAAAATCTTAAGGCAATGGTTCTCAACCCACCTAATACTGCAACCCTTTAATACAGTTCCTCATGTTGGGGTGATTCTCAACCATAAAATTATTTCATTGCTACTTCATCTGTAACTTTGCTACTGCTATGGATTATAAAGTAAATACCCGTGTTTTCTGATGGTCTTAGGCAACCCCTATGAAAAGGTCATTTGACCTCCAAGGGGTTGAGAACCACTTAAAGTTAATAACATTTGAGGGAAGATGTGGTTTGCTAAGACAGGATCTTGGCTTCCCTGAAGTTCCACTCACAATCCTCTTCCGCCTCAGCCTCCCAAGTGTCAGAACTACAGACAGGCATGTGCTGCCATGCCCAGGCTCATGTTCTGAAAGCTTCATCTCCAGCTAGCCATGCTATCTTAGTTAGTCCTAGAAGCTTTAAGAGGTGTGTCTAAGTGAAAAAAAAAAGTTCACTGAGGGCTGGGACTGAGACTTGTCAGGGCCACCTTCCTTTCCTTGCTCTTGCTTCCTGTCCACAATAAGGCAGCTCCTCTACCACCCCTCCCACTCCATGACATTCTATCCATGTACATGGGGTCAAACAAGCAGACTGAGCCCCCAAACCATGAGCTAAGTGAGCCTTTCTTCCCTCAAGCTGTTCTGGGTATTCTCCTCACAGCTAGAGGCTGTACTAACATCACAAAGCAGTAGAAGCGCACTCTGCTAAGGAAACACTTGCTTTAAATTTACCTGTAAGAAACCAAACATCCAACTCTGTGAAACTGTAGCTGTCTCCCTTGTCCCAAACACTCTCCTCACAGGCATTAACCTGACTTCCTCATGAAACTCTGATCATCATCAAGAAAAGGAAGCCACGCAAACCCTGTAGCCTGCTGCAGTTCAGTTCTTGTTCTGTGCTTCTGTCTCTGACACAAGAGTACACATGAAATTGGCCCCCACTCTTCATATTATGGAATCTAATACCCAATGTAATAGTATTACCCATTAGGGCCTTTCAGGAAGTTGTTAACTCATGAGTATTCCACACTTATGAGTGGAAGTAGTACCGTTACAGAAGACACTGAAAGGAGCGAGTTGCCTTGTAGGATGAAGCAAGAAGAAGCCATCTTGGAAGCAGAGAGAAGTCCTCACCAGATGCTGAATCTGCTGGTACCTTGATCTTGAACTCTTCTGCCTCCAAAGTTGTGAGCAATATATTTCCATATTTTATAAATTACTCAGATGAAGGTATTTAATTCCAGCAGCAGGAAAGGACTAAGGGGGACACTGACCAGTGAGAACTGGCCCTACAGCTAGAGCTGGCAACTGGAGAGCCATACCAGAGATAAAAGACTGAGAGGTGCCAAGGCCAGGCTAGCGGCAAGAATAAGCCAGCAGATCAGGAGCTTTGACGGTCTCTGCCTTGGAAGAATGTAGTGACCTGGACCTGACATGAAGTTGGGAGGATCTGGCTCTGGAAGCGCTGGTGCAGACAGATCTCTCTTTGGCACACCCTGTACTCCAGCACCTTGCTTACTTCTCTACAGCGTCCACCAGCAGTGCTCTTCCTGCACTTACTGTCATGGCCTGCCCTTTTTCCTGCTTGGGTACAGTGCAACAGCCAGTTCCTCTGGGCTACCTCAATCTCCAAGATAATACTTAGAGCTGGTTTTCCTTTTTCATGCCACCACTTTATCATCTGGAACACATATTCTGGTCACTGCTGACAAGGGCAAGTCTCTCTCGATCTGAAAGTGTTCTTAAGGAGAATGGCCTCTGGGAGGTTACCCAGTGTGTCACACTTAGTTTGAATAGTGACTGAATCATTATAAGAGTATAGTATAGTAGCTTAATCATTATAAAAGAACTTTTATAAGAGACAAAATGGTATCATGATTACCACCAGTGCAATTCAGGGCCTCATGTTTCTTTATTCAATTAACAAATAAATATACTGAATATCTACCGCATCAGAGACACAATGTGAACCCTGGAGATGTAGTCAGAATGGAAAACACATAAACACTCTGACCTTCAAAAGTGCATGCTAGTGAGGGCCACCATGTAATAAATACATGCAAATATAAATAACTAAAATACCATGTAACTTCCATGTTTTTGCTAGGTGGTAATGTGGGCAGTGGTGAAGAGTAGTGAGTTTCCAGAAAGATTATTAAATATAAGGGGTAGTCAAAAGAGAACACGCTGAGAAGATAACATTTGAAGATGGACCTGAAGAAAGAAGTAAACAAGGACAAAGTATGCAGAGAGAGGAAACAGCACATGCCAAGACTCTGGAGTGGGAGCCCGGGGCATGAGCAGATGAAGTCAGAAAAAGGAAGAAGACAGTCCTGGAAGGTCAGTGTACAAACCCAATATATGACCTGACTTACTGAGCCTCAGTAAGACTGTCTGGGAGCTAAGCAGGGTGGCATACGCTACTATCCTAGCACCTGGGAGACGAGGGAGGAAGACATTGTCCCAGTGGTCAATCTTGAAACTGGGTTAGTTACCTGAGATGAGGATCCTCTCAGCACCAATGCCTGCCTCTGGGACCAATAGTCTCACAATCCTGTCTTCCTACAAAATTAGGTTTTAAAGTATCTACCTAATAAGTAAACAAAATGTTGTACATACCACTCCAATTCTTGGCCATCTTGAACATATTTGCAGCTCTGGTATACATTTCACATGCCTCTTCTATTCTCGTGTTCCCTCTAAAAGAAATTTAAATAGGAGGTTATACTTGTTAACCATCTGCATCTCTCCTCCCTCCCTGAAACAATAAAATTATTTTATTAGTTATTATGTAATTATTATTATTATTATATTATTGTAACCCTGCAACACTCAATGAGCTCTTCTGTGCATAGACAAACTACAGAAAGAATCTTAACAGCTTACTGTTCCTGACCTCAAATTCCAGATGAGGAGGCTGAAGAATGCTAAAGTTACTGTCCTGGGTCACAGACTAGATGTCGTAAAAATGGCACCTAGACAAAGATCTGGTGAATCCAGAGTCCACAACCTTAACTAGAATGTTCTATGTAAACTAAATGCAAGTTTTGGGTCAGTGGTTAAGAACACTTGTTCTTGCAGAGGACCTGGGTTTAGTTCCAATCACTTGTATGGAGGCTTACAGCCATCTATAACTCTAGTTCCAGGAGGATTTGATACCCTCTTCTGACCTCTGTGGGCAGCAGGGATGCTCGTGGTAGGCATACATACAAGTAGGCAAAACACTCATACACACAAGAATAAATATATTCAAAAGTTTTTAGAAATTCAAGTTTTCTATCAGGCTAGGTAAATAAACATCTTATATTAGAAATGTATTTCTCAAAGAAGATTGTATTTTGAAGAGTAAAGATACTTTATCCTGCCATCCTTTAACTATTTAGCATAAAACCCAAAAGCCAGATGTGGTGGCCCAGGCCTGTAACCCCCCACATTGGAATGGCAAAGGCAAGAGGATGGTGAGTTCTAGACCAGCCTGAACACAATGTTGAGACTCTGTCTGAAAAGCAACTATCCAACCCCCAGAAAATCCACAAAACTGTTTGTTCTGGCAGGAGCCAGCCTGTTTCCAACATGGAAGAACCTCAGAGCCCCATCCTCACCAGGTAAAGAAAAGCATTGTGTAAAGATCTTGTGAAGAGGACACTCCACACACAGCTAAGAATGCATGAAGTTCTAGAAAGTTCTTCATTGGGCAGCTAATTCCTACTGATATATAGCTTAATTTTTATTTATTTTTAATTACAAAAATTATTTTGTGTATGAGTGTTTTGTTGGCATATATCTTGGAAGGGGCATCAGAGCTCCTTGAACTGGAGTTACAGATGGTTGTGAGCTACCACATGGATGTTGGGACTTAAACCCAGGTCCTCTGAAAGAGCTACCATTGTCTTACTGAGCCATCTCTCCAGCCTCTAGGGGCTAGCTTTATACACTCAGTAGTTTCTTCATTCATAAATACAAATTAGTCTTTGGTGGTTACCTAGTGTTTCTGAGTTCAACTCTGCTTCTAATTAGTTCAGGCTCTTCCACACAAGACATTCATCTACTTTGTCTATCTACACTGCAAAAATAAAATCTCACAGGAAGACCAAGGCCCAAGAGACTCTGACTGTGTAGCACAGACAACGAGGACTTTAGAGTGGAGCGTGGAAACACAAGATTTGACAGGGAGCGGACGAGGAAAAACAAGCACATCTCCCGTGAGCTCAGGAGGGTCATGAGCAATGAGCGAGTACAGCTGCGGAAGAGCTTGTGGGGTAGGATCTCTCTCCTTTGCTCCACTGCCAAGCAAGTACACAACGTTCTTCCCCTACTACAGACTTCCACCATGTGAGGAAAGTAAAAGGTCTCACCAGATGCCAGCACCGTGACTTTGCAGGTTCTACTCTCCAGAACTGAGAGTCAGTCTCCGGTATTCTGATGTCACAAAACCAGAGGTCAAACATCAAAGCCAAGAGTGAGGGCAAATCAGGAAGGAGTGTCACGGGCAAAGGGTGTGTTATTCCATTTGGGGTGGTTCCTGTCATGGCCGCACAACTCCACTATGCAAAGATTTTCAAAATATCAGCAAATCCTTCAGACAGATAAATTGCCAGGTGAATTATATCTCAATAAATTGCTACTCCTGCCTGCCAAATAAAATAACCTGGGTCCATGTCACACAGGGAATAACAGGATGTCATCAAGCTGTGCCAAAGATGAAGAGCCAAAACAAGCAAAGTTTTCAACCTCAACCTTCAGGTTCCTTTTCTCTGTTTCCAACCTACATTAATTTTTTTAAAAAAGGTTTATTTTCTTTGTGTATTCATGTTTTTCCTGCATTTATGAATTTGCATCATTTGTGTGCCTGGTGCCCACAAAAATTAGAAGAGGGTGTCAGGTCCCAGAAACCATAGTTACAGAAGGTTGTGAGCTGCCGTGTAGGTGCTGGGAACTGAACCCAGGTCCTCTGGAAGAACAGCCGGGGCTCTTAAGCCCTGAGTCATTTCTCCAGCCCATCTACATTTCTTTTCTTTTTTTAGAGCAATGACCTAATAGGCTTCCCTAGTGGAAAATTCCTCATGAGAAGTTTCTCACTTTCAGTCACAGCTCCACAGAGTTAACACGAGCGAGCCTTTTCCCGTGTCTTGTTTTTCTGTCAAGTAGCAGGAATCTTTAACTGTAATTACAGTGTAATGCAGCCATTCTTATTAAGTTTCTAAATAAAACTAGCTTAATTAAAGTGTACCTTATCCTACTTTCAAGTAGAAATGTGAACAACAAAACTCCTCTGCCGTGCTAAGTTCACACCAGATGTTGCCACATCAGGCCTTTTTTTTTAAAAATCATATATCATAACAATCAGAGGAGACACTACCTTTATCTCACTGGCATCTATGACAAGAGACGAGGCCAATGGCCGTCTTGGTCACTCAGCACAAGCTATCAGTGGAGCTAACTCCTGACTCCAAAGTTAGAGATCTTTGTGCAAAGGCTGAATGATCAAGAGGCACTTACCCGTCCTGAACAGAATTACCACAAGCATACTCAATGCTAGTAAAGGGGCTGGAGCGATGGCTTCGTGGCTAAGAACACATACTGCACTTGCAGAAGACCTGAGTTTGATTCCCAGCACCCACACTGAGTGGATCACAACAGCCTGCAACTCTAGATCCAGATCCCATGCCTCTGACCTCAGAAGGCACCTGCACTCATGTGCACATTCCCATACATAGATACACAGAAGTACACATAAAAATCAATCTTAAAAAAACAACTGAAGAAAGTCAGGCATGGTAGCATATGCCTATAACCTCAACATCTGGAAGGCAGAGGCATAATGATCAGGAGTTTAAGGTCATCCTCAGTGAGTTTGAAGCCAATCTGTGCTACATGAGAACCTGTCTCAAAACAAACAAACAACAAAACACCCAAGAAAGACTCATTATCAAAAATTGAGAATACAGTCTGGGGAGGTGGCTCAGCTGGTAGAGTACTTGCCTAGCACACACGAAGTCCTGGGTTTGATCCTCAACAATCCATATAAACTGTACATGATGGCCTGTACCTGTATTACTAGCACATGGAAAATAAAGGCAAGTGGATCAGAAGTTCAGGGTCATCATCCACCACACAATGAGTCTGAGGCCAGCACAAGGCTTTTTCTCTAAAGGGGTGAGGAGGGTACTTTAGGAAGCCATATAAAAACAAGAGGTAGGCTTCTGATAGGTAAAGATTCTTGTCACATAAGCCTGCCAACTTTAGTTCAATCTCCAAACCCATGTAAAGGTGGAAGGAAAGAACAGACTCCACAAATGACTCTTACTATAAACCTTTTGGGAAATGTCTTTAAAAGTACCTCAATTACTTACTTCATGTACATGAACATTAAATATTACAGGCTTTAAAGAGCACTACTCAGAATTTATATTCAAATAATTCAACTGATGGCTAAGTAGTAGAATATTCTTGGAAACAACAGATCTGAAAAGTATCTCTGTTACTAGGTAACATTAGTAACAATATGTCAGCACACAGCACTAAGTGGCAGGAAGAAAACTGAACTGAGATAAACTCAGTGTCTTTTGGTATTAGGAGTTTCTGACTTTGAACAAGTAAACACCTTCTCCACCAAGAAAAGAAACAGGAGCAGGCATAAGACCTGCCTCCACCTAATGCCCCAGCTTGGCACCTCTTTCATTTCAGAGCCAGGAGCTTCTTGGCTACTTACTGAGCAAACGGCTGCTAAGGTCAGCATGTGCCACATGACACTAACGAGGGAGGTCGGAATGTTCACAAAAACTCAAGCTTTAGGGATGAAGATGCCTGCAACAGCATATCCAGCCCCACCCTGTTCCACTGTGGTCAAAGGCAGCCCACTAAGGGTCAGTGAACAGCAAAGCTGTCAAAACCCAATTAATCCCCAAATCCTCTGAAGTCCTACTTTCCCCAGCCTGAATCATCACTGTTTGGAGCACTGAGCCACACTGGCAACAGTAATACATACTATTTTAAAACTGTGGGTGGGAGGAGGGGGGTATCAAAGTAGAGTTGTGGGAATTAATGGCACACACACACACATCATGAAATGTACCCAAAAGAAAAAGGTGACAACTGCAGAGACAAAAATAAAGCTGCCTCTAAAATCACAAGATATTAGAGTAGAAATATCTCAAATAATGACAATTACAGCACGGTATCAGTGTGCAGGCATAACCAGAATTCTGGTCTATAATTAGGATACCCTGAGGGCTATCCAGCCATACCAAACTCCAAAGACAAGGACGACTGAGCTTATTACTGGGACCCACAGTGAGGTGTGCGCAGGAGGCTGTCACCCAGGACAAAGCTTCTTCACTAGCAGGAACATTTTGTTAGCCTAACCTGCAGGGAAAGGTCAGCACAGGGTCTGGCACAGAGGTTACAGTGATAATGCTAGCTTGCTGTGTGGATAGGAGAATCTGCCTGCATCACTGTTTTTTGCTGCTGCTGCTGGTGGTTACACTGTTGTTGGGGTTTTTGTTTGTTTGTTTTGGGGGGGCGTTGCTACTGATGTTTGTTTTGACACAAGGTCTTGCTCTATATAACCCAGGAAAGCCTCATAAAAGATCCCGCTGCCTCGCCAGCCCCAGGATTACAGGCATGCAGTAAGTAGTAAGTCCAGCTCCACATACATTTTTTTCTTTTCTTTTCATTTTATTTATTTTTTAAAGCAATC